TTTATTGAAAATCTGAGTTGGAGACAAGCCCTCCTCTTCTCATCCTTGTTTATTTTTATTTTTATTTTTATTTTTATGTTCAGAATCATAGAAAATCAGAGCTTGAAGGGACCTTAGAGATTATCTAAACCAATCCCTATATTGTACAGATGAAGAAATTGAGTTTCAGAGAAGCAAAGTGAGCTGCCAATGATCACACAATTAGTTCATGGCAGAGACTTTTATTTTCCCCTTCCTCTAAGGAAGTTAAAAAAAAAGTCAGGGTGGGAATTTTTGCCATAGAAATTCAGAGTTCCTTTCCCACCCCCCTCCCTCCACATTGGCTACCCTGCCTCACACCTGCTGCCCAGAGAAGGCCAGATTTGGCCAGTTTTTCTCTGGAACACACACAGATATTTCATGAAGAGGAGGTGGTATAACAACAGAGATTGTAAAAAAAAATTTTTAAAGGTTAGGGTTGGGAAAGGGTAAGGCTCAATTTCAATGTATGACTGTCTACTGCCCATATTTTCCAGTTACTGATTCTTTCTCTCAATTCCTCTCTTTTTCAAGGATTTATTTCTTTATGATGGAAATCATCCCAGGCCTAAGATGTTTACATCATTTGAGAAATGTTTGGGAAGAGGATAGAGAATATGTTTCAAACAAACAAAAATGCCAAGTGACAGAAGAGTGCTAGATTGGAGGCCAGGGGGCCTGTGTTCAAATCCTGAAAATTTACTGGCTATGCCCTTAACCTTGGACATATAACATCAAGGGACTATAATATCCTCATCTGTAAAATATAAGGACTTAGGCTAGGTTCCTTTCTGGTTCTAAATTCTAAGATACTAGGAAAAGAATACTCTCAAAGTAAGAAGTTAAGCAATACAGAATCCTTCAGGATTCTGCAGGAATCATTTGGCCTCTTGAGCACAAAATAAGAGCTCCTGTAACTACCCAGAAAAGCAAAAGTTTTAAGATACATCCACTTTGCAAATGTACACAGTAGTAAAATGAAAAACAAAGCACAAAGTGGAGTGGAGTGAGAGAAAGACCTAAAAAGGACAGAAAGGGGGGAGGGAGTAAACAGAGGGAGAGAGTGGGGTGAGAGAGAGAGGGAAAGTCTGTAGCCAAATGAGGGAGACTTGGCAGGTCGACAGGATCAACACAGGCCAAGCAGCAACTGCACTTGCTAAGTCTAGTCTATTGTTGCCCTTAAGGGGGTGGAGGGAGTTGTTTATTTGTTTTGTTGTTTGGGTTCTTTGTCTCTTTTGTTCCTAAGCAGTTAGTTTGCTTCTTTCCCAGACACTGGGCCCAGGAACAAGCTTAAGAATTTTTCTTAAAGGGACACACTTAGTAAAGTATTACAATTGATTTCCCAGACAGAGCGATTCACACTTGAAGGAACGATTAAAAAGAACAAGGATTTTATATACACATTTTTTTCACAAAACAAAAATTTATGTTTTATGTTTAGCTATTGTTGTTGGCTAATAACAATAAAGCAGCCAATTTCACCCTCTGCAACTAAACCTCTCCACAGGAGAAAGAGAAAACAGAACTTTCTCCATCTTTGTCCCCCAACCCAACTCAATCCTAAACTTTTCAAACCAAACCAAATGTAGAACATATAGGAGTAATCTCCAAACACACATTAGCAAATAGTCAATTCTTTGGGCTGGTGGGAAGCAGGGTGGGGAAGGGCGTGAGCAGAGATTGAATCTAGGCAAAATTGAAAATCTCAATTTGGGGCCTAAAAGCATCACTAAAAGGGAAAAAGAGTCTCTTATTTGATGTTACCAGGCTCAGGAAAAAATGCTCCATCATGTGGTGTGGTAGACTGAGCCTTGAATGGGTAGTCAAAGATTACAACCAAATTCTGGTTTTGAAATTTAATATTTCTTTGTGATTTTAGCTAAGTTGCTTCACCAATCTAGTCCTCATTGTCTTCATCAGTAAAATGAGGGGATTGACCTATTTTGAGAGTTCTTAAACTGGGATCTGTAAATTTGGACGTGTGTGTGTGTGTGTGTGTGTGTGTGTGTGTGTGTGTGTGTGTGGAGAGAGAGAGAGAGAGATCTCATTGGTTTACTTTGTAATCCTATGTGTTTTATTTTATGCATTAAAAAAAAAAATTTTGTGAGGTGTCCACGGGCTTCACCAGACTGCCAAAAGGGCCAGGTGGGACAGGTTTACTTGTGTGCTATGACACACAAAAAAGTTAAGGAACCCTGGCTTATATGATCTGGTCCAGCTCTCAAACCCTCAGTTGTCTTAAGTGGAATCTATTTCCTTTCTACTAAACTACTTGTCCAGTCAGCTCCCTGGTTTCCTTCCATTTAAGACCACAGCTCTCTGGCACTTGGGAGGTCCTGATGCTAAGTCTTTCCTTTAGACTTGACTACCCTCTCTTCAGAGATGGGTCATCACCACACTCTGTTACCAGGAATGGAAGAAAAAGATCAGCTCTTCTCCTAAAGCTGAAGGCATTCAACTTTTTAGAGGTCATTGAACTGAAGAGAGCCCTTTTAAATTTATTTAATTTGGGGGGTGGGGTAGGGGAAGCATCCTGAAATCCTTTGACTACAGTACTTTGTTTTGATAAAGACTCCCAACTTCCTGTACCAGCTATAATGTAAATAGGCCATGTTCTAGCAGGAAAGCCTTCTGAAGTAATAAAATGACACCAAAAAAATCGACAAAACATTATCCAGAGAACCATAATGTCCCAACTCCTGACCTTCACCCTTCAATCCTCTTCTTGCCCAGCATTTTCTCACCCAATCCCTTCTTTCCCTCCTCAAAATAAACAAAAACACTAAAAATGTTTTAGTGTGGCTTCAATGATAAAATGTGAAAGTGCACAGATTTATAACTGGGTGGAGGATTGCGAATGGGAAAGGAAAGTAGGGCATTATGTTTGTGTATGCAATCTTTATACTCCAAGCAAAGAAATATCTGAAAGCGCTACTGCTTTTCAGGAACTAGATGCTGCAGCTAGTCTTAAAGAATATAGGAAGGGAAGGCTGGAGAGACTTTATAAAAGGAGTTGGGGTGCTTTAGGGATGTGGAGGGAATATTCTTCTCCTCCAAAGGAGGTTTAAAATTAAAGGGAAAAGAAATCATAGCCCAGTAGGCCCCAAAGCAATTCTGCTTACACACACACACACACACACACACACACACACACCTCTTTCTTTCTAGCTGAATTTATTTCTTGCCCTCTTCTCCCCTTCTCTTTCATTCTTCCTCCTTCCCTCCCACCCCCAACAAACACTCCTTTATTTCAGAGCCAGCACTGCCCTTCCACAAGATGCTGTTGCTGCTGCTGCCATGTCTTATGAGCTTGCTAACTGAGCTTTGAGAAGCTGGTAAACCTGTCCCACCTGACCCTCCCCAATCTCCATAGACACTCTGAAGGACTCACTTTGACACCCACTCTTGTTGCTGTCCTAAGTAAAGAGTAGGTAACAGTAAGGCAGTATGACGAAGTGGGAAGTACCATGCTGAGTGTTAGGAGTTCTGAATGCAGACCCTGCTTATTTATGATTTTTTTTCGTGGCCTCAGGCAAATCATTTCATTTCTTCAGCTAAGATGGGGATAATATATCGTACTATCTCTCACAAGTTTGTTGTAGAGAAAGTGCTTTGTAGACCTTAACACAATAGAAAAATAAGTTATTACACAAGGCTATTTCTATGTATGTATTTCCTTGGCTTTAGCTTTGTTTCTGAATGGAAGGTGGAACAGAGCATAAGCATATAATTAATTTTAGAAGACTAGCATATGGTGGTAAGTATAATGGGTTTTTAATAATTTGTTCTGATTTGTGTCAAAGGGGCAGAGGGAGTTCTTGCTTTTTGTGGACTTTTGCTCATTAAGGCCAGATCTGACCACACATAAGCAACCAATTTAAGTCCAAAATGCCAAATAGACTGAGAAATGACTGAATTCTAGTTGGGATGATAAAAAAGTAGCCTAATTCAGCACATCCTATATCTCAAAGTGACCTCTTGTTTGTCCTTATGGCTGATGTCAAGACAGCAAAAATATGTAAAAGCTTCCGATAGAGTCTAGAACATGGGCTACAGCCTGGTATACAGCTCAGATCAGAGTTGTGAGGAATAAAGTATACCAAAACTGTGAAAAACCTCTGCCAATCTACAGTACCAGGTGCCTTGCCATCCACTTTGAACTTTGTTCATCTTTCATGCAGAGCATTTCAAGGCACTAAAGATTAGGAAGTTCACTTCTCTAGCATTTGAAAAAAAATCCTCTTTGCCAATCAATAACGACATAAAATCAATCTCTATCTACAGATACATATATACGTGAATGTTTTCTAGTTTGAGGCTCTTACTACAGTTTGGTCTGATCTCTTTACTTAAGGGTCCTGTTTGTTTGAAGGGATTGAGGGAACTTTTGCCCATCTCTAATTCAATGTACCTACTTGGCAACACTGCCCAAGGCAATACTGCACCCCAGGAAAGAAGGGGAAGATGTTTCAAAGCTAGGGGAGCAATTTCCCGCGATTCCTATTAAAAACAAAACAAAACTGCATCCAGAGTCAAGGTTTGGGGAGGGAGAGAAGAGAGGAAGGAAAGGAACGGTCAAGTTTTCTCAGTCTGTCTCGTTCCTTTTCTGAAAACAGGGGGCAAATGAATGGCTGTCTACTTGGGAAGCGAAATTGGTCCGAAGAAACAGTCCAAGGTAGTAGGCAGCCATCTGTCGATAGGCAGGGGAGAGAGAGAGCAGCAAAGTTGGGAATGCTGCTCGTTCTCCCTGCATGCTCCAAGAGAGAGAGATAGGAAAGGTGGACGACGAAGAAAGATGAAGTGGGGTCCTTGGTTTGAGGTTTTTGAAATTCAGATTTTTTTTTTTTTGAAGAAGAAGAAAGTGTGCTCCGGAGATCATACGGCCTCAAGCAAGTCTGAGATGGAGAAGAGGGGGGGGGGGGCGGGGAAGGGCGGAGAAGTGAAGAGAGCTGGGGTGGGAGATGCAGAACAAACTCCTTCACACCAGAGTCACCAGTCTTCGGGGACTTCTGGGCGTACAGGCTCCGAGGGTCTTAGTCTTCCAGGAAGGTCTGCCCTTCGAGGAGAGAGAGGGTAGGAAAGAGGAAAAGGGGGGTGGAGTGGGAAAGTAGGGGTTTTTCCTTTTTCTCTTTCCTGCTAAGGCTTGCCTAAGAACCCCAGGCCAGATCCAGCAGAGGGGAAGGTCTGTAAGAGGAAGGAAAAAAAAAAAAAAAAGAAAGCAAGAGAAAACTCTGCTGTAGCAACTTTTGAAAACTGGCTGCATGATTAGTGGCGAGGCACAAAGCGGAGGGACAGCTGCACCATCCTGGGTGGGGGTGAGGGTGGAAGGGGGGGGGCTGTAAGGAAAAAAGCCCGAAGCCGGAGTCCAGGGGGTTGTGGGCGGACCGCCCGCACACAGTCTCGGGGACAGGGAAAGGTTGAAATGTTATCGCCTGTAGGTCGCTTGAGAAAAGTAACCCGAAAGGGAAGTCGGAGACTTTTGCCTAGTGAACAACCTGTTGGAAAGCAACCGGGTGAAGCTTCCTTCTCACAGCTCTCGTAGATTTAGTGATTATGGGGATTAAAAAGAAAGCCGATTCTCTTAAGGGCTGTTGGGCAACGATAGAGGAACTGGTTTTGGGCTCGGGTTTTGTCTAAAAGTACTCACAAGCAGTAGAGTGGCACCCATAGCGCCCATGTTTATAGCGCTTCCAGGATCACAAAATGCTTTCCCCACGACCGCATGCTGCCCTCTAAATAATTGTGGAAGGAAAGGATAGACAGGTTCTGGTCTCCCCGCCCCACTTCTGCACCCCAAGTCACTCTTCTCTTCACCTCTCTGCTTCGCCTTTCCCAATCCCGTCGCAGTTAACTTTTGGGGCACGGGCAGGCGAGCTGTGCCAGCCTCCCTTTTCCTATACCCCGGGGCAGGTGGCAGCGCGGGCAAGGCAACAATGAATGCACGGACGCGAACGTGGGTGGGAGCTACGCCCAGCCGGGCTCTATCTGACCCAGCCCGCGAACTCTAGAGAGTTGCCAGCCTGCTCCTCCTCACCCCAGGCCCTTGGCTACCGCACTTCACCGCGCAGAGATGGAAAACAAACCCAACGAACGAAGGAAACGTTTGCCCCCAGCCCGGCTCGGTGCGGGAAAGGGGAAGGTGTGTGGCGGCCGCGAGGGAAGGGAGTGCCGAGGACCCGAGCCTTGAGCGCGGGGACCAAGACCTTGCTGGTTCGGAAGCCTGCCCTCCGCTGACCTGCAGACTCTGGACTACACTGCTCTCTCCAAAGTGCAGCGGAGAAAGGCGTCCTTAGATTCCCAATACCCAAGAGCTATCTATCACCTTCCTCCTTTGCTGCGGAGTCCTAACACGGCAGTTCAGGGTGTCTTCTCCCCATCCCCCACCCCTACCCGATCCATTTCTGTATAAAACCAAGCTATCCCACAAGGGATGCAGCCACCAAGGGTGGCCTTGGGGGTGTTGGGGAACGCAGAGGAGGGGGCTGATTCCTGCTTTGCATTTGTGTGGAGTGTCTCCTACGGAGTTTATAGGATTCTTTCAAAATGGTCAGGCTCCCTCTCTCTTTTCACCACGGGGTTGAGGGAAAGTGGGAGGAAGATGAGGTTATTTAAAGCTCATTTGCTACCAGCACAAAATGTTCCAGCTCTCCCTCTCCTGTCTCGGAGCGTCTCTGCCCAGCCTTTGATATTTAAGACCGACAAGATCCCCCATGAAACTACCTGTTAAGGAAACGAGTGACACCGCATTCTGAAGGGCTCGTCATGTCTTAAAAAAAGAAAAAAATAAGTCAACCACATTCTTTTGAGAGGGGGGTTGTTCTTGAGGTACCACGGGGAGGGTGCCCCGTGTGTGGGGGAGAGAAACAGCAGGGACATGTAAGCACTGCTGTCCATCAGCCGCCAGTCCAAACAGTCCCGCATCCGTCCGCGCTCGGCTCCATGCCTGAGGACCAGCCTGGACTATCCTCGCTGGTGCGTACGGACATCGGCCGCACGAAAGGGCACAAACACGTCCCTAGACCGCTAGGTTTCGAGGACGACTGGAGAGATTCCTAGTTGACTTTGGCAGAGCGGGTTTCCTGACCTGACAAAAACCAAAACCAAAACCACCTCTCCTAGTTAGGGTTTTCCTTCCTCAGCCCCAAGCCAGCTCACCAAGCATAAGATGCCGGTCAGGTGAATTACCCGAGTTTGAATTCAACTGTTTTCTTGACATTTCGGAAAACTTCGATCACGTTGTTCCTGAGGCTTAATCTATTGATTTGCTAAATCTATAGTTTCATGTCCTTAAAGACAAAAACAAACAAAAAAACTCAGCGCTTTTGGGAGGAATGGAGGAATGGTACCAAATATTATTTTCAATAGCATTTTATCCAGTTTCCTTTGATGTTTTCACATCGTAGCTTTGTGTCTACTTCGTAACATTATTTGTATGTTTTGGTCCTGATTTATGTCACGCCAGGAATTTGTTAGTAGCTGATTCTTTGGGTCTAGGTGGTTTAAAAAACAAAACAAAACAAAACAAAACAAAATAAAACCCTAGTTCTGAAGTGTGTAAAGGCTATGTGGGCTTAAGCTTGATCATCATTTTAGACAAATGATTATGAAATTTATTGTAATTATGATGCTATTGTTGATTGCAATAATACATGTAGATAACATTTTTTGGTTTACAAAGTGCTTACTGCACAACTCCTGTATCCATTTTTAAAACGGGGCGGGGGGGGGGGAGTGCTGCTGGGATGGGAATTTAGGAAGGCTGCCTTCATCCAGGTTTTTTTTTTCTAAAGATATTACCCGACCCGCTTCGCTAATTCTCATATCACCACTAGCAAGAAGCAGCAGATCTCGGGACAAGAACCGAGGAACTATTTGGAGGGGGGGGGGTCACATTGGGCTGAATATTTTTGTTTTCAGAACTGCATCCAAAGCTTTATTTCTCAGCGTTTGTCTTGATTATACCGAGTTCCAGAAAAGGACCCCCCCGGAAACGAAATACTGCATAAATACTATGCAATGAAAGTAGGTGTAGGGAGGGGGACAGGGGAAATGAGCGAGTCTTCTTGGGATAGGGATACTCATTTTGACCGGGAGGGAAACAAGGTTCCGTTAGGGGAGCAGGATTGCTCTAGAAGAAGCGCGTAAGATCAGAGCTAGTACCTATTCCGTCTGTCTGCTTTGTAGTACGGGCAGTAAATTAGCTGTGACTTTAAACGTCCTTTCCTTTTCGGTCACTGGTGGCCTCGGTATTCATCTAAGTGACCCTATTCACCCCTGGGCCGTTCTGTCTCTCTCTGTGTCTCGCGATTTGTCAGCTCCTTTCCAGTGACTTCGAAGAGGATGAACATGTAACCTCTTTCAGTGAGTTCAACTCTTTAACTCCAGGGCTGGGATTCTCGACTGCAACATTTCCTCTCCTAACAGCTAGAGCTAGGAAACGAAACAGTGCTTTTCTCGTTATTTATCTTCTTCTATTCCTTTCTCTCCCCAACCCCCAGCCGAATCCCAAGGGATTCGACTCGACACAAGTGAAACAATGTTGCTTGTTGTATACATAACTTGCCCAATAAAGAAAAAGGCACAGGTACGACACATGCAATGAAGGCATGGTGAGGAATTTTCACTGCAAACCTTTAAACGGTGCTGTGATACACAATAGGGGTTATTTTTCTAAATATGCCAATTTTCTGTATACAGGTGTTCTGAAACACCCACCCAACTCAAGGTGTTAGGGGTTTTTGTTACTGCTGTTTCGCTTGTTGGTAATAATGTGTGAACTGTTTGGTCTACACATAACAACTCACATTGTAACACAATTTACAAAAGCTTTGGTATCGGATTTTGTAGGTAGCTAGCTAGCTCACTCTGTTTAGATTTCTGTCCCGTTGCTGCAATACCGTTAAGGATGATTCAACACCAAGGAGACAGCACAATACCTGTGCTTAGGGGAATGGCAATATGTTGTAATACACACATACATATTTTATTTCTCCTTTGCTGTGTTACAACAGACTGTGTCCAAATAATTTGGATATCTCAAAATATAAGCGCTTCCAGTCAAAACACACCTACCGTTTGGGGAAGGCACTATGCTTGCTTTTATATGGATGTGGGTGTGTGGACATACCTCGCTCTGGTTAGGCGCACACACACATATTTTTTTACATGTATGGTTTGTCATATACAGATGCCTTGCATCTGTTTTACATACCCTATTTTTATGTAAAAAATTCAGCCGACTACATGTACTGGCAAGATGCGACAACTCAAAACCGGCTGCTAGTAACGAGAAAGAGAGTGGAGGGAAAGTTGAAACATTCTTTACTAGCAGCTTCCAGCCTCTCAGGATCATGAGGCCTCGCTGAAAGGATGTGCTTAGGGGAATCATAGCTAAGGACCAGGGCAAAAAGTGAACCTGGCATAGTAGGAAGAAATCTCCATTAAATTTAATTTAATTTAATTTTTTTAGGTCACGTTGGGTGGCCTCCCTTTACCTTGATAAGCCCAAGGGTTCATCGCATAAAGGTGCATGAATTAGAAAGCCCAGAACTCCGGAACTTCTCCCTCACCAGCTTCAACTCCAAGATTTCTTAAGAATCACATTCTTTAGGCCTTATCCCCAGGGCAGGTGTATTCCTGAGAGCATAGGAAGGACTCAGTCCTGCCCTTCAATGAGATATTGCTCACTCCTGAGGTAAGGGGAAGGACCAGGTGGTCTGCCAACCTAAGTAGATTTGGCAGTGGTATCAGCTGAGTGGCAGGCTAGATCTAGAGTCAGATGGATTTGGGCTTGATATATTTGACCTGACATTTATTATGAGTGACTTTGGGTAAGTCCCTTTTACCTCTTTGCCTCAATTTCCTCGACTGTAAAAAGAAGTGGTTGGACTGGAAATGAGAATATACATAAAATAATTTGCTTTAATGTGCCTCAGGGAGTACCTAAAAGTGATTTTATTAGTAACAGCCAACAATTACTTTTTCATGGTAATATTAATAAATAAAATTATGATCCCATTGCTGTTCAAAATCTTGACATCCTATGCACTCAGAGTAGACTAGTAGTCCTCCCA